TTGTCTCTGCCAATACATGTCTCCTCAGATCCACGCTGCTCTGCACCAGAGCAGCGTGGATCGAACGAGACGTGCTGTGGAACACATTGCCGGGGCCCAATGGTGAGGATCGCTCTCCATCCTGATTGCTATGCCTTGGTTTCCATGGTAGCGCTCATAACCACTTCCGTATTTAGGTGAAACGTCACGGACAGCGGAACTACTCCCGCAGCCAATCATTGCTTTCCCTTTCACGCTCGTCGCCAATCAGAGCCCTCTTTTTTCCCGCGCCAATCCCTCACGACGCTGACTGGGCCGTCTTATAAGAGGCGGGCGGTGATTGGATGTTTTTTTTTGTTCCTGCGCGGCCCGTGATCGGTGTAGAAGGTGAACAGTGAGTGGAAGCTGGGAGAGCGCCGGGCGGCTGTGGCGGAACGTAGCCGGTGTGCGGGGCTGCTTCTGTCCATGTTATTAGAGCTAAACCTGCCATTTCCGGTACTGTACAGGACCATACAGAGCGTCTTCCTGCTTATTAGCCCATTGCAGTCCAGGCCGTCTTTTTAGTATTCGGCTCTGAGGTACTGACTTATTCAGTCACGTGACCCCGTACTGAAATTGATTAATATAATTTTTTTGGGGACAGAGCTTTCTTTTTATGTTATTTAATGCCCACTGTTTTGTTTTTTTCCACTATATAAAGATTTTTTTTTTTGGGAAAAAACAAATGTTTTTTTTGTCCTACGCTATGTTAAAACATTTATTGGCCAATTTTTTAGTAAAATATAAGAGATCGGGTCATGTCGGGTAAATAGAAACCAAACATGTCACCTAGGGAACCCCGAAGAAGCTGATGAATCGGAGATCTGCTTCTCTGGTTACAGCAGGCGGAGCAATGCCACTGAAAGCGGAAGTGATGTAATACTCGTCCCTTCCACATTCAGTGATTGGAGGGGAGATCAGACACTGGACGTGTGTTGACCTAAGGGCCTGTTCACACCAGATGCGGTATGCTCCGGCCCGATTCTGGCCAGAACGCACTGCCTCGCATTGCTGCCGGCTCACTTTTTTTTTTTGTGGGGCGGGAGCGGCTGCACGGGATCACAAGGCACTATAGCCTGCGGTCCGGTGCGATCAGAATGCTGCAAGCACTGTTTTGATCACACCGCAGGCTATAATGTGCCGTGCGGCCGGAGGGCGTGGCTACGGTGCCATTCACAACTAAGTGAGCCGGCCGCAATGCCAGAATCGGGCCGGAACGCACTGCATCTGGTATGAACGAGCCCTAAGGGCAGAGACCATACGGGGGAGCCTGGGCTTAAAAAGCCGTGTATATATACACGGCAGCCGTCTGGCCGTTTAATTGCCACACCCGGAAGGCAAGTGGTTTTGATGTTTGACAATTAACCTCTTATGGTGTCTGAATCGTTTCTTCTTTTATTTTCAGCGTCCTGAGTTTGTGTGCCGCTCCTTCTAAAAGCGCTCGTGATCTCCTCGTCTATCTCCGCCCCCCGACCGCGTATGCTAAACTTCCACTCGCCTGAAGAATAGTGAATACTGGAGGTGAGTGCGTCCTTTAAATCATTTCACCCTGCTACTTAGTAATGAGGGACTCTTAGAGCCCATTCACACTGGGGCTGGTCAGCGCGATCCGAACCACATTACCCCCCGCCAGACCTGCTCTCTGCACTATTTTTGCCGTGCCGATCAGTGCGGTCTCCATACAGCTTTCCATGGAACTATGCTGATCAGCCCGGTTATGGGAGTTTTAAAATTACGTTTCAACGCTGAAACGCAATTAAAAACTCTCAAAACCTCCCTTTTGAAATGATCCGCAACCGCCCTGCTGTGACTGGGCTCTTAAAGGAGAACTATGAGGTGAGTGTGATTTTTACTCATCCTCATAGTTCGAGCCGACGTGTGACAATGAAACTGTCACACGTTGGCTCAATAGATAGTCACTCGCTCACTTCTCGATCATGTCCCTGCAGTGAGCACGGCTCCCTGCAGGGATCTCCCCCTCCCTGCTCCGATCCTCCAGCGCTGACTGGCGGAACGGACGGGGGAGGGGGCGGGCACAGCTGGCTCTGCCTCTAGATAGGAGGATCTATTGAGCCTGGGGTGACGGGAGGACGCTAGTTTGTGTCCTCCCGTTACCCTGAGGAGAACTATGGGGAAAAGCCCTGACATCCTAGTTCTCAACTCCTGAGTTCAGTGTCACTTTAAAAGCTCCATATTCCCTTGGGGTCTGGACTAACCACTTTCTCGCTATGCTTGATCTCCAAAGTCAATGGACCCATCACACTCCTGGTCCAAAGTATAATAGTGAGTTCTGCGGTAGTCGACGGATAGCGCCGTCCTAATTCACGAGATATAGTTGAGTCACCGGCACTCCAGAAATAAACTGATGTCTTTTTATTGATGTGACATTTCTTCCCCTTTCTCATGCACTTGTGTGATATGCCGCATTTACGGCAATAAAGACTCATTATCTGTTTATTCCTGGAGTGCCGGTGTTCTGTCGAAAGCTCCAACTCATCAAAATCTCTAACTACCTCACTTCCGATGCTCAAAGACCGGAGCTCAACACAGTTGCGGTGCGCATGCGCGCAGAGCGTTTTCGGAATACTCGTCTAGTTTGCCGCCTGCTGAATATTGTTAGAATGCAGCCGTACAGAAGCTCCGCCAGTCTTTGTGTTTTGCAGTCTAACGCCGTCTGGTCATTCTCCAACTTGCAAGTACCCGGCGGTGAGGTACCGTAGTTGGAGATTTGGACGAGCTGGAGCTCTCGATGGAACACCGGTGTCTCGGCTATAGCTCCTGCTATAGCTCCAGCCACATTCCTTTCAATCATAGTAGACCTTTCTCTGCTGCGATACAATGTCTGTAAATGTACAGTATCTCTTTATGATGCTAAGGAAAATAACAATGTTGCCAATGTCCCATAGACTGGGTAAGTAAACCACATTGAAAACACAAGACTCTTCACAGGCTCATCCCCGCCAGAGCTATTAAAGGACGCTTTCACGCGGGCTGATCAGGAGCGGATCCCCTTCTGATCGTAGTATTATGGATCGCATGTCACCGATGTCACATCCATGTCCGTCCAGTTTTTTTTTCCCTTTTCATCGTGTGATGGAGGAAAGAACTAAAACTACCTGACCCCATCCGCTCTATGGGGAGTCTGATGTAAATGGACATGTGTCCGATTATATCAGATCACCTCCGATCCGGCACATTCGGGTCAGAATACAATGAAAACAGCAGGGGATTCCTCCCATCTATGCTCACAAGCGCTGGAGTAACCTGTGTATACCCAGCTTTCATCTTCGTGGTATTCGGTGGGCAGTGTCTGTGTCTGTGTCTGTGTCTGTGTCTGTGTCTGTGTCTGTGTCTGTGTCTGTGTCTGTGTCTGTGTCTGTGTCTGTGTCTGTGTCTGTGTCTGTGTGTGTGTCTGTGTCTGTGTCTGTGTCTGTGTCTGTGTCTGTGTCTGTGTCTGTGTCTGTGTCTGTGTCTGTGTCTGTGTCTGTGTCTGTGTCTGTGTCTGTGTCTGTGTCTGTGTCTGTGTCTGTGTCTTTTATTAAAGTTCTAATACAGAACTAACCCGCCTTTTATTTCAGGTTGTACAGACATGACACAACGGAGGAAAGGTCGTTCCAGTGTCTTCCGGAACACCTTCACTCAGGTACCCTGTGTGTGGTTCATCGTGGTGTAATGCTGTTTGGTGTGCTCAGAGCAGCCTCTGGTGAGATCTTCCTTGGCTGTTTATACCGCACCGCAAAGTAATGCAATGCTGCTCTGCTGAGATACAAGAAGCTTCCAAGTGTGGAGTTCTTGGGACGGCACGCAGTACACTTTCTGACTTCTAGACTGGCGCCAATGTAATCTGGGGCTTTTTTGTTGTTGATGTCCATAGGCTTCCATAGGTTAACTTATTGAGTGTTTTGTGCATCCACAGGGGAGAAGCCATAAAGGGAATGTTTATTATCATCATTATTATCATCATTATTATCATCATTATTATTATCATTATTATTATTATTATTATTCAGGATTTATGGAGCGCCAATAGTTTGCGCAGTGCTTTACAATACAAGGAAGACATTACAGTTACATTATGAATCAAGACAAGATGATAAGGAGGGCCCTGCCCCTGAGGGCTTACAATCTAAAAACGGCGCAGTTATTTAGCTCTCAAGTGGACATCGTAGTTGGGAGGAATTCAATCTGCGATATTTTCACAATGGGGGATCTTTACAGTTATTTAAAGAGGAAGTCCAGGAATTAAGAAAGTTGACCCTTGAAGTGGTGCCACCCCCTCGCTGTAAGGGTTACCTGCTCATCTTTCTCTAGAGGCTTAAATAAACCGAATATACTCACCCGATTTCTCGTTCCTGCCTGGCTGCTAGACCGCTCCCTTCAGCCTTTTCTTCCCCAGGCTCTGGTGGTCTAAACCTCACTGACGTACTCAACGTCTATTGCAGTCCATTCACTTGTATTTGACGTAAGGACACTGAGGGACATGCCACAGCCGGAAAGGCTTAAGGTGCCCATACACTGCACGATTCTCGGCGAGTTAGTGGCCTGCTGGTTCGACAACGGCCGAACGGGCCGGTGTGCGCACGCGCGCACTGCTCGTTTGCAGTCATCGTAAGCCCACCCCTCATTACAGTCATCGTAATGCGATGATCGAGAGTACGATCTGCCTGTCCAAGATGGGCAGATCGTACGTTTTTTAAAGTACTTTACAACCATCGCAAGACTAAAGTCTTGCGGTAGTTGTAAAGTGTATGGCCACCTTTAGCCACAGCCGCAGGACTTAGGATCAGGTGAGTATAATTTCTATATTCTGCCCCCTAGAGAAAAACCAGCAGTCAAGGAGAGGACAGTTGTTCACATGCCGGGTAGATAGATTCTGGTATATTGGGTTGGCTGTGTACTCTTCCAGAAGCCTGCGCCTTGTGTTCTTTCCTTGAAGAGCCGATCATCTGGGCTGACCTGATTTTTCTTCTGGTTTTATACAGGCTGAAGATATGGATGTGGAGGAGGAGCTCATTCAGACCCAAACAGCATCACAGGTGCAGAGGGGTCTGGAGAAACATTCACCGGACCAAGTAAATCTCAAGGTACCAATGGTCTACCCGTTTTCTCCTAAACTACATTTCAGAACCGTACTGTGTGCACCTAAAGCTGACTTTCTTAAGAATATCACTTCAATGCCACATTATGCTTTTCACAGAGGACTCTTTATTGGTGTATTCCATTTCATTGCAGGAATGCCGTGATGGTGTCCTTATTAGAAAGCTGATTCAGCCAGGCTGGATTCACACAGTTGCATTGTGTTAATGCGTAGCAATGAACATTCTGTGCATTGGTGTGCAGCTCTGCTGTGTTTTTAAAAAAATCAAAAATGAGCTTTATTGCATAAAGAAAAACAGGGTACAATGGTACATAGAGGCATAGCCCCAGGAGCAGCTCTGCTGTGTTAAGACTTCTCTTGGGTGCAGAGGATGCCAATTGTTCTGAATGGCACACCTGCGTTACAGTGCCCCACAACGCACTACCGTGGTGGATTGTATTGCTAACACTAGTGTAACCATCTTTTCCCCAATCATCTTCCAGGACAGCAACCTGAGAGATGATTGGTTCCTCCCTCAGGAGACACAATTAGAACAGTTTAAAAATCTCTCCCACCCCCCTCGTCCCTCAGTTTAGATTGTTTCCTACCATCCAGGACGTCACAACATTTATGGTGTTCTTTCCTAACCGGATGGTCGTTGGGTCAGCGGTCCCCCTCTGATGCAGCTGTGCTGGGTTATGGTTGCCTGAAGCCTTGCTGTCTCAGGCATCCCTGAAACGCTTCCAGGACCTTGGGCCCCCTCCTATTACAGGGGGTCGACTCCAAAGGACCCCAGGCATTATTGCCCTGTCCTCCAACTCCACTTATGGGGACGTGCTGGTGGCCAGCGGAGGTACGTTGGCAAGTACGTTTACATTAAGGGGCTGCCTGAACACAACCTGACCATAATGCTAAAAATGTCCCATTTGTTCAAACTATTTCTTTCTTGTCCATTAAGGGACATAGGGAAACTTTAACTATTGGGTTATACTGTTGCCTGGAGGAGGAATGGACACTGGCAAACAAAACTATAGGCCAGTCTAGGGTAACCACTTCCTACCAGAATGCTT